GACTAGCTTTTACCAACTTGCGTCATTTATGGCGTAAGCGAGATATCCGTCTATCAACCAAAGGACGTGTTTACTGCGCAGCAGTTCGTTCCGTCCTACTTTATGACAGTGAAACATGGCCGGTAAGAGTAGAGGATATCCGTAGGTTACTAGTATTCGATCATAGGTGTCTTCGAAATATTGCTCGTATATCCTGGGACCATCGAGTAAGTAATGCAGTTGTTAGAAAACGGGTACTACGATGGCAAATCAATTGATGACGTAGTGAAACTTCATCAGTTGAGATGGCTGGGACATGTGTTACGTATGCCCAACCATCGACTGCCTCGACGTGCGATGTTCGATGGTGCAGGAGTAGATTGGAAGAAAGCTAGGAGCGGCCAGATCAAAACATGGCCCAAATCCATGAAGTCACTGACAAGTGGACTAAGTCATATTGGTAAGTGAAGACTATCTGGTTGGGATCCGCGAGACGATAGCAACCGATTATAAGAGACCTTGAATGACATGGCTCAAAATCGTTTGTAATGGCCTAGGTGCATCCACTCTTTGTGTTCTCCCGAATTATAATCTTCTGAATTCCTCGTGTCCCGTTTTTCTGTTTCCAAATTTATTTCACTGGACTGTACTCTTTGAATAATATCGTCAAACCCTGATCATTGCCATGATTGCATATACTTTTACTACCTCTACCACTATGGGATTTGAATCGACAACTGTATCTCTGTGCTAATGTGGTATGGCAACTTGAACTGATGTACGTACGAAGTTCTATGTTGTTACTTACTGATTGAATAACTCCATTCTATCATTCTATTCTAGCATTTATTCTACAAGCTGAAAATCTTAAATTCCTTAATACGAAAATACATGAATTGATATATATGATATTTTTCTCTTTAAAATTCTTAAAACATGGGGGAAAAAGTTACTTAAAATATCTTACTTATTCATCATCAGTAAGTAATAGTCTTAAAATTAATACTAAAAAAACTTATACCTGTACACAGCAAAGCGCAAGTAACATTTGACTGGATGAGAAGATCATTTATGGATGACTTACTTAAGTAACTTGGAGTATATCCATCTACATACATCGGAGGAAAGGATGGTTATAAATTAGTGTAATGAACTTGGATTATGATTAATAATTTGATTATTATGATTATGGTTTACATCATGAACTGGCATCAGTTACAATGCCAAAATGCTACTTGACCATATAGATGAATGGATTCCGCGCCAAAACTCAAAACCTACTATCTTAAATCTGATTGGTTCATTCATCAATTATAGTCTCATTTATCACTCAGCTTATTGACTCAGCTATTTATGCCAAGTACGTGAATATTAAAATGATAATAATTCTAGTTAACAATTTTACTGTAATCAGATAGGGTATTTTGGATGGTATAGTAATTTAATAGTTGAATTCATGAGTCAATTGAAGCTAGACCACCATAAAAGACCTGGCAGCACTGGATGACCGTGTCGTCTTATTATGGGACTCCTCAGTGACAGTGAGTATCCACATTCTCGCCCCCCACTAGAGTCGAACCCAGGACCTATCGATCTCGTGCGCGAATACTTAACCACAAGACCACCGAAACGGCCGGTATCCAACAGTGTTAATGTCTAACTTCAACCAATTCATGGAGATACACCATCGTCCACCATTATCATTAGTGAGTTACGATCTCACAACTGTAGTCTAGTCATTATGATCTTACGATTATATCACATTTTTCAAGAAATTATCCAAGTGTAAAATTCCTTTCTTTTCGACTTGGAATGAATTAAAGAAATCTTTAGATTTTATAAAAACCAAAGAAAGACAGCACAAAAATCGACTTTACTTATAATTATTATGGTGGACGGTGGTGCAATTTCATGGATTGGTTGAAGTTAGACATTAGCACCGTTGGATTCCGCCGGCCCAATGGTCTAATTGTTAAGCGTTCGCACGCGAGACTGACAGATCCTTGGTTCGACTCTCTCCGGGGCGGGATCGTGGATGCTCACTGCCATTGAGGTGTCCCATACTGTAACGAAACGGCCACCCAGTGCTTCCAGGTTTTCCATATTGGTCTAGCTTCAATTGACTTATGATTTCAACTATTGAAATTACTAAAATCTCAACAAAACCCCTTCTGATATTGTTATTATTATTATTATTGGATACATGACCCAATTTGTTGACATTTAATACGGATACATAAAAATATGTAAAAAAACAAAGACAATGTTTACCTTTTAAGAACCTAATCAATATTCAAATTATTGATTATCTATGCATATGTATATGAGCAAGTGGAGGTTATTAATTTGATATGAATAGACTTTACACTTATGAAAATGATTTTTTTTCACAAGAATATTTATCATACCGTTATTTTGATTATACATTGTAGTAATAATCAATAATTGAATGATTGGAGCGTTGGATACTAAGTCTTTCTATGAAAAAAGATAAAAGTACCACACTGTACTTTAGTTTAATTGATTGACTTGAGCACTTATAGTTTTGAAAACGTAATCGGACTATATTGGCTGAAGCATTTGTATCTTTAAAGTTTTACTATGTCAGATAGGTAGGTTGGTGGATGATTAAATCAGAAGACATAACTTAAGTGTTTCTTATGAATAGTCAGTATCTGCAGTGACGTTATATCTTCAACAAAGAAGGGACGTTTAGATGTTGAAACTAAAGTTAGCGTACCTCTGTTTATCGCATAAATTTCCGTCGGTAGCTAGTAAAGCTCTCAAAGTAACAAGATAACATTGCCAAGAAACACTTCGTCAACTGATTTAGACCTTCTATCAAGAACTATGACGTACATAATTGTTATCGACGGTACATTTGTCTAGATATCTTAAATATTACATACTAGAAATCAGTGTACATTTCTGGATTCAGAACATATCAATGTATCATTTAGATGTTAATAGTCATACAAGAAATTATTAGTAGTGTAAAATGCTTACAGATTATAGATTAATAATGTGAAACATGAACTTTCTGTCTACCCTAGACTATCAGATATATATCAATGTTAGCCAAAAATTCATATTGCACAGCCCAGTTACACTACCAAAATATAAGTATATAAGTATGCAGTCTTTCATATTTTTAAAGATTCAGTAAACATATTCTTTTATGGACCCACAAGATGAGTAAAGTTAATGCTTTTATATGAGATGGTAAAATGGTCAGAACTTACAACAGGAAACCATGGTACAAACTTGTTGTCATCTGTAAGAGTGAATTTGTCTAGTGTATCAAAAACTCCATAAAAGTTTGTTTTTTTAACAAAAATATACAGCTAGATCTACATGTATTGTTAGATATTAGTGAAATAAACATTTTGAAGTGAACTACAGGATGTAAGTTTAATTTATGCAATGTGAATGGAAATCACATAATACACCAAAGGAATGATGAACACTTCACGTGCCTATTAACTAAACGGAGTAAAAACCAAAGCTGTGATATATCAGATAATACCTTAAGGAAAACTAAAGCCATGGTGATGGCATGCTAATTATTTCATGTTCATAGGAAATTCGGAGATAGTTACTTTCTTATTCCGAACGGTACGTTAGGTCACGTAAGACTCATAATTGAGTATTATTATTTCACGTATATAAACAGCGCATCTATAGCTGTTTCCCAAGATAATTCGGTAGCTATCTTGGGTTAGTCAAATGTTTTGAGAATTCACTGGGTAACTGTGTCTACTTAAGACAATCGCATGTGGTAACAGAATATAAATACTTATAGTAACCTATGAACGAGTGAGGACGTAATCAACCCGACCTAAATCCCAAGGAATCGTCAACATATAAAAAACGAACGGGTGTAGAGTACTTGTTTCCATTTTAAAGTTTTTGTGAATAATAATAAATATAATTTTCGTTATATTCTAATGAGTAGAAAAATTATATTTCTGAAGTTTCGTGATTTAACGTGAGCCACTTCTTCAGAACAAATATGTGGATGTCTTTTTCAGCGGGATAATCTGTACAGAACTTGAAACCTTATTTATTCAATTCTCTGAAAATATTCATATATTATACGATCGCCAAAACCTACAGATATAAGTACAAACCGTACATGATAGTCGAAAAGATCTGTTGAAATCATTGGAAACATAATTAAAGTAAATACACTCACTCTTTTTCTTTTCCTACATTCAGTTTTTAATTTATACTTTTTTATATCCTGCAATTCCATTCTTTCTCCTCGAATCATATTATCTATCGTTAGTATCCTTTCTACTGCCAAACAATACTGCTCATACTTTTCACAATTGATTTACCATCGGGTGGTGACCAATGTCATATGTGTAAAGTCCTTCTTAGTGCAGAACGAATGCTATTGACCAAGTTACAATGTGGCCACTAGTCTAGATGACTCAACAGTACGAACACTATGTTGAGATAAGATGGTGGTTGGAGGTAGTCAACAGGAAACCCTGGAAACGGGTTTCGTGCTATTTAGCACTCATCAGTTTGGGCACCCCCTGCTTCGGTTTGGGCACCCGGGCAGTATCACAGCCCTCACACATATCGAATGAGATTTGTGTGGCGCATATGTATTCGGTGCCTCCTTGTACCAATGTCTATGTGTTAAAATAAATAAAATAAAGCACTCATCAGAAAGGTGTACCTGTAACCTTGAGGGAACTGGTGCTCCCTGACGGATTCGAACCCGTGTCACCCAGTTTTACAGTCAGAGACGCTACCACTGGGCTATCCGGGCAACGACCGACTCCCTGTCGGACTGAGATGTATTCACAATTGATTGATCACTGGGTGGTGATCAATATCATGTGTGTAAAGTCCTTCTTAGTGAAGATCGAATGCTATCGACCAAGTTGCAATGTGGCCACTAGTCTAGGTGACTCGAAATTGTTCATACTTTTACTACATAGGAATTTATTCTCAACTGATGGACATATGTGTACTTGATTCTGACTGACTAGAAAAAGTAACTGAGTCAAGAAAAGAAATAAGTGTATTCACAAATGAAATACATATGATATGGGTTAAAATCATCAACATTAACCAATTACAAAATAGCGAACAATATAATTCTCTTAAAATGGATAAGTCTAAATCAAAACCAAACCAAAAAGAGGGACTGAAAAAAAAGGATAAATAAAATTATGCACACTTTTCTTTACAATAAACAGAATGAGTGAGGGTACTTTCTTCTACTCTTGTAATTGTTGTATAAATGTATATGGGAGAAAATGTTGTGATACTTATATGAATAGATCTCGTGGAATTGTACATAGGATAGGAAAATCTGAAAATGAATCACAAACACACCACGTTATATCATTTAAGATAAGTTTGGCTTGAATGGGTGGCAGCAATCGTAAACAGTTGTTGATCAGGAGACGTAACGCTAGAAAGATTTACTGTTTAAAAAAACCTTCGAGGAAAAATACCTTGGTGTTATAGTTTCTCAACTGATTTGTGAACGACTGGAAAGAAAAGAAAAAAATAAACATACATATTCCCAGATATGTTAAACAAACTGAAGGTATTCACAAGACGATAGGTTTTTTATAGTAACTAAATAAAAGTCTTAATTACAAACGGATTGTGAAGTTGATGAACACAACGATTAGATGGTAAAACAAGGAGTGGATTAAAAGTTAAGTCAATTTGAAAAGAAAGTTGAATCTTGAGCTGAACCTCAGGCTATCGCATATACTCATATCAGCAGGTTAGGATCAACTTAAAGCTTGGGACCTAAGTTTTCATACCATGTTAGCACGAGATAAAATTAACAAGATGAGTGGTGAACCAATAGAAACAATTTAGTACCAATCATAATAAGAACGACCAAGCACAATATCTTGTTCTTAGGGATTACTAAGGTCAGGAATTAAATTTGAAATATTAGGGAGTTGGTCTCGAGGCAGTAAGTGTGATCAAAATACAAGTCTGAAAGTCACATCATATAATTCTAGCTAGTACTTTACCGATGTCATAACAAAAGCGTATCCCATCTCATCCACTTTATTTCGTAAATCCGGATGTTATGATTGGTTTTCACAAACAAAAATGTCCCGTTGAAAGACAAATACATCGACCTAAACTTGGTAAAAAATAAATTGCATTTACACTATACGTGCGCTATTAAATGATTCGATGAATCTCACGAAACTTCGGAATGGAGCAGCGCATGAAATCACGATGATGCCAACTTGAATGACCAAAGATGGATTCAAGTTGCAACAAAATAATCCAGTTAATTTCATAAAATCGACTTTAATTTGACCGTAAATAATTTATTATGGAGGTTAAAAAATCTGACAAATAAAGGTATAATGAAAATTTAGACTAGATTTTGCGCCAGCTGGTAGTCATATCTTTCCAAGTCTTGGCAGGTAGAGGGCATTACAAAACTTTTATATTTAGGTTGCTCACCAAATGAGTCACAGTTCATTCAAATAATGGATCTTTATCCTTGATATGGAAAATTCTAAAATTTGAGTGAAAATAAATCATAACTTAAGAAAGGTTATTATCTTAGTAACATTAGGACCTTTGTGAAATAAAACGCCGACTTCAGAAAAATTAGTGTCATATCTATAGGCGATTGATTTAAACTGAACAAAAGCAATCAGATATAAATATATTTAATTAACCGTATGCATAAGTTCTTATCGGTTATGACTCAGCCATTCATACATTCAGTGATAGTAACCGACTATTACTCTGAATAGAACAGGTATTGAGTTGCATTAAGGTTTGAGAGTCAATCATATGAAACTATAAAACTTTATAGATGAAAGGTGACTTAAATCCGTTACCCTCTGTAAGTAGGATATTTATATCGATCAGCTAGTTTCGGTTGAACAATGTTATGTAACATTTCAAGTAGGTTACAACCCGGTTACTGAGTGTCACACTTAATAATAAGTATTAAGGCTGTATAACAAGACTTGAAACTCAAAAGAGAAAAAAAGGAATTAAACGTACCGTCTTCCACTAGGTTCCCAGCAATACCAGCTGTACTGTTTAACACTGAATCGATATCTTCCGAATGCTCAAGAACGAACGGTCGAATCAAGCGTCGATAAATAAGCAAGGATCCATTTTGTGAGATAGGAATCATGCAATAAATTAGGAAGGCACACTGCAAGGTGGAAAGAAATCAGGTTTGCGGGAGCTTTATTAGTAGTTAGTGTTGTAAAAAAAGTTAACAAACATTTAGAAATTCAAAATCTTTACATTAGACTATATCACTCTCACTTATCATTAGGAATCTTCTCATAAATAGTGTACTAGAATTCCGAAACGGTTTGCTCCATATATATATTCACGTGTCGATATACATAGTTGATAAATCTAACGACTATAATCTGTAAATCATGTTGATTTTTGAAAAAAGTAAAGATTAGATGTGAATGAAATATAATTTCTGTCAGGCTAATGTAGAGATGTAATAGTGAGACAGCCAGACACACGCCTGCCTAGTAAGTGGGTCTGTAATCTGTTTTTGCTTTACATTCGTGTGTCATACTGTTTGTACTAGTTTTAGCTAATGAAATGGACTACCAACTGGAAAGATATTCAAAAGTTGAAGAACCACCAACATTTGCGCTTGTTTCCGTGAGTTAAACGAAAGAAAAGCTAAGTAACCCAAAATATTACTTTTATTATGGGATATAACGGTAGGTAGTAGACCATCATTGCTGTACAGGCTTCGAAAAGTTGAACAGAAGCAAAAACAACCCAGTAGGTTAGCCATTTCGTATCGTCTTCTTTCTCGTGAGTTTCTATGGCTTTAACTCTAGAAGTAAACATAATTTGCAACCGAATACTCACGATTGATATGCTGGGTACAAAGCACCAACAAGCAGAGTAAGTATATCCGTCCCATAACCAATGACTAAGTACAGCGTCAAAAACGCAATCACTCCTTTTTAATAACTAGGGATGTGGAACTTACCATATGCTAAATACAGTTTACTGATACCTGAACGTGTTTCACATACGCTTAGGAAATCAGTAACAACATTCTTCTTCTCCAAGTACTCAGAAAACCGTATCTGACAAGACCGTAACTTCTCCATCGCGCTATTGCAGAGTTAATGTACCGACAGTGTAACATAACTAAACTTCAAACTTTGTCAAACACTTCAATTTCAATATATTGACTGTGAATATAAAAACGGATATCTCTGAAATGAGTTTATAAGTCTTTGCTTCAAAAACGTTTCGGTGTACACGGTACTGTCTCACTAGCCTCACAGATGTCTCAGTCAACGGTACAAGATAACAAGCAACACCAGTTCAGCAGAGCCTATATATAAGTAGTGATTTTGAGATTTTGCATCATCTATAACAAGCAAGTGATTCAACAGAAATATGATAAGAATCCCTAAAATTTACTCCAATTCTGTATTCCTGAGTTATAGACCTTTGCTCTTTGCATAGATACTCCCTCAGCTTAAGACAAGGTTTTTTAAGTGATACGGTAAATGAATCATCTCGTTGCAAGACGAATGATTCGCTTATTCTCCAAACCGAAATCGGTAGATAGTCATCTATAGCTATCCCATGTCACTTAGGTTCGCAGGAGTCAAGGTTATGACTCGATATGCTGTGTAGGGCCAGTGAAATGTCACTGGGCCCTAGTCAAATCATTAGTCAGTCGGGTCACTGGATATCTAACAGTTCATTGACCCTCCACAAGATCGACGACAATCAAGGCGCATCAATTGATTGCACGCCATGGACTAGCTCAAGCAGCGGTGGTCGTACTCTGTTCTCTGCAACTTGTATTTTCGTAATAATGTTGTTTGTGTTATACTGTCGTCAATGTGGCCATAGTACGTGGATACGACGAAAGAGTAATCCACATTGGGTGCTGAACGTAGAATGTGAATTTGGCGTCAGTCAGATGGTTACGCTATTCCCGTCTGACTCTATTAGGTCCCCAACCATTCGACACAGACCATCTGCGTTGGTGGTCTACGGCTGTTTGTCACTCGCTAAAATGTTTGATCACTTATTTATGGTGATTCGAAAAGCCATTTTTCGTTATTAGGCGTTTACACGCGTCAGTATGGAAACCCTTGAGTAGTAACATCTGTTTTCTGCAGCGAAAAATCAGGGTACCTTCCTTGTTTTTATGTGTAAGTTTGGTGTTATACATAGTTATGTTTCCAAAGGTTCCAGACCCGATCAAAATTTTTCACCTCTTCAGCCTGTCAGCCCTCTTGGGTGTTGAATGCTGTCCATCTCCACGGAATTGTCTTCTACTGTTCTTCCCGTTTGTTCCCAAGCTCCGTTCATGTTTTCAATATCCACATCCATTTCTCCAGGCCACGTGCTCTCTGATGTGGAACTTTTCCTATCACCTTGAGGATCCCGAGTTACAGATTGTCTCTTGATATAGATTGATAGTTTCCACAATGTATGCCATACCCAAATCAGCATCGAGCCCCTCTTGAGTTACTGATGGTTCCAAACCCGGATGAAGGAGGAGGTTTGGGCATGGGGTTAGCGACCCCATCCCGTAGAAAACTAACTCGCTAAAAAGCACGAGCCAGAAAAATTATATAAACCATTTAAACTCTATCCTAGGAGTTAGAAGGTCTTCATTTAGAAGAGTTATGACGCCCCATGGTGAAAGTCGAGTTCCTTTGGAAGTCACAAAACTGATGCCCATTCTGTAAACCAGAGCTACCGTTAGTTTAGATAAGTGGAACGTCCGCACAATGTTTGAGGCTGGGAGAGTCATCCAAGTTGCTACAGAAACGAAAAGACGCAATGTGGAGGTGCTTGGAATCAGTGGAACACATTAGACGAAGGTTGAACAACAAACCTATGTGCCCATAACAAACTAGCCACAGGCGGCACTATATTCCCACATAAACGCATACACAAAGCCACACGGACTTAACCGATCATGGTACACAGAATCAAATCTACTATATCTGCATCAGTAAAAAGTTTGGAAGGATGATGGAGGACATAATAAACAAGAGAGGAGCTTATATAGCATCAGATCAATACTTGCTGGTCGCCAAGATGAAAGTGAAACTCAAAATGAAATAGTCGACGGGCGGACAACATCGCAAAAGTTTAATACGGCCTTTCTTCTAGATACTGACAGATCCAACAAAATGAGGATAGACTGGAAAGAAGAACACTTCATCAGGATACCAAAGAAAGGAGATCTGAGAAGAAAACATGAAACAGTTGTATGATACAACAAAGAAACTCTCTAGAAAGAGAACGACCAGAGAATGGAATTCATCACTCCACATCATCTTCATTTACTACGAGAAAGCATTTGATAGCGCGGACATGACAACACTACAGAGGCTTCTTTGACACTACGGCGTGCCTGAGATAATAGTCGATATCATAAGGAGTTCCTATGATTGATTAGGTTGCAAAATCGTGCATGGAGGATAGCTCACAGACTCATTTGAAGCAGAGACCGGTGTCAGGCAAGGTTGCTTACCCGCACCCCTTCTCTTTCTCCTGGTGATCGAGCGGATCATGAAGACATAAACATCTGGTGGGAAGCATGGGATACAGTGGACATCTTGGATGCAGCTGGATGATCTAGACTTTGCAGCATGATGTGGCTTTTAAACCGCACACGCGACAACAAATGCAAGAGTAGACGACCAGTGTAGCAGCAGCCCCAGCAGTAGTATGTCTCAATATACACAAAGGGAAAAGCAAGATTCTCCGATACAACACAGCATGAACCAATCGAATCTGATGCAGATGTTAGGGTGCGGATCGGCAAAGTGAGAGCAGCATATCTACGACTGAAGACCATCTGGAACTCAAAACAATTGGCAACCAACACCAAGGTCAGAATTTTCAATACAAATGTCACGAAAGTTTCGCTGTATGGGTCGAAGAAAGCACCCAACTGCGTTATAAGGTAAGCTCTCACTTGTAATCCTTGGGGTCAACGGAGAAGAGGAGGACCAAAGAACACAATACGCCGAGAAATGTAGACAGACAGGAGAAGAATAAACAACAGTTGGATAGAACTAGAAAGGAAGACCCAGAACAGAGTGGATTGGAGAATGCTGTTCGGTGGCCTATGCTATATTGGGAGTAACAGGCGTAAGTAAATAAGATGTCATACTCACGCCCAAAATCCTTCTCTAATCTCTTCTCCACGTGGAAACTGGTTTGTTCTTTACCACAGTAGGTTATTACTGAGGGTATCCGATCAACGGATATTGAGTATCTTGCGAACGTAAATGTGTATAAATACCCGTAAGTTTTCGATAATGGTCGCAGTGATTCTACAAGTTACAGCTCTATACAAAAGAACTGCTTTAATTATAAGCTTGAAAACCTAATCCTCGGAGTCGTGTTACACTTGTATCGAGTCCTAGATATTATTCATTTATTTGATTGTCGCTCTTCGTTCACTAGTTCCTAATTAAACATCCGTAGAAGTCCTCTTTGGATATCAGTGGTGCTGTTCGTGTATATTACGGCTTCTAATTCTTCCAGAGCATCACCACCTAATGCAATTTGGTTGGATTTCACGGTACTGTATGTCAAGACCTGGCTTCCCTTGTGAACGTTGAGATATACTGCCACAAAGGCTATTTGTTACACTGGGTGCCTTCATCTTAATTTGTTGCTCTGTATGGGATAGAAGAACTAGATCATCTGTAGCATCCAAATTGTCCAGCTAGATACAAGATGTCCGTTGTATTTCTTGCTTATTCAGAGATGTAGAGGCCATCATGATCTAGCCCAGAATCAGTAAAATACACAGTCTCGTCTGAAAATAACCGTCATTCGGAATGACTTTGTAAATTGATCTACATGAACGAATTTAAAGTGTTAGAATTTCACATGGTGGTGAAGACCTTCTCAGGTACTCTCTAATGCCTCGAAAGATTCCTATTCACTTTATCAACTGCTTCTCATAGTCGAGGAAGTTAGCACAGAGACGAGTGCTGTCCAGCAGTTTGTTCATCAATGGTTAAAAATGTCAAGGTCGGTCGTCTTCTAAACTTTTCATTCAATTCAAGAACACTTCGTTAAACACTGTCCGGTACTGAATGTAGTGTGATATCTTTGTAGTTCTCGCATTTACCAAAACCTGTCATCGGCATCTTGGTACTAGTTCTTCCTGTCAAATCGTTCTGAAGAGAACTTGTAGTATCTGCTGAGTTGCTTCTGCTTTGCTTCAGTGCTTCAGTTGTTGCGTTGTCTGGTCATACTGATTTGTCACAGTCAATTGTTTGGTGACATGTCCGACTCCGTCGATAGCTGGTTTGTCGACATTTATATAAGAGTCTGTGTATTCTGTTTCGATGTACTATGGATTCAGTGGAGCTAGTTTATTCAGGAGCCCTTTGAAGTATCCTACTGTCTATTCCTCTGCCCTTAGATCTCAGTGATGGCTTTGCCCTACCTGTTACTGACTGACAACTCTGGTTAACCAAATTTTCCAGCGAGCTTCCGCGTTGTGTCGTGTAGCTACCTCATATTTCCATCTCTTTCAGCCTTTTTCATCGTCATTCCCAGGTCTTCCATGTAGTTCCACTTGCCATATCTAATGCTCCTTTTCACTCGCTTGGATACTTATATGCATTCGATGTGTCCCTTGACTTTCTCTACATTTATTCGGCTATTGTTGATTGCCGTCTTCCTGTTCTCTCGTTACTGGGATTTACCCTAGGCAACTATAGATATCCACTATTAATGCTAGTGCTTCTTGTGCCTCAGTAGTATCTTGAATGTATGTCTCATGTCAGAAACCGGTTCGGGAGTAATATTCATGAAAATTAATAAATATGACCAGTCTAAGTGAAAATTTATGCAAGTTCTGAAGTATCGTAAACGTGGTAAATCGTCTGGTGAAATAGTGAAACATGCTGAAATGTTAGTGGGATTCAGATCATCCAGCAGAGTTGATGTATAAAAATCTGGGTATGATAAATGACTTAGGTCAAAAAGGGGCAGATTAAGTACGGAGTATTGAAACTAATTCTTTAATGTACATAATGTCATTGCCTCTGTTAATTAGTTGATTCAGTGCACATCAAAAAAGAGTTCAGATAAATTCATGATACTGGCCGTATTAACAGTCGTAAGTCCCTGAAATATTGTCTGT